CATCTTAACGAAAAATAACATTTTCTTTTAAATAAAAAAAATATTTTTCAGGCATCCTTAAAATTTCAAGTTTAAATCTCCTCCATCATAATTTTACAAAACATGTGTATATGTCTTTTTTTTAAATTTCAATAAAACCATACCATTATTTACACTATATTTTTCAATTTCGGATTTATATTTAATCATCTTTGATCATACTATTTTTTATTTGATGAAAAACAGAGGAGAGAGAACTTTCTAATGAGTTCTTTAACGACACACTGTTGCAAAAGACAGCATTATAAATACGGTTTGTCGTTTCATTACAAAGTTAATAGGCTGCAATTGAAGACTACAATTTGGAGTCAAATAGAGACTGGACTCTCGATGACATGAAACCCGTGCATCACCCAATCCAAGCCCACCAAGTAAAAGATAACTGGACAAATATGGATTAATTTTGTGGAAAGCAGGGGTTTTCAATGTGTGGATTGGACCTGAGCCCACAGATTTCAAAGCCCATGTATTGGTCTTTCACTCTTTTGATTAGGGATATGATCATGTTTGTTTGTTTTGCGGATTAAAGCTTGATTTTTTTTTTTTTTTTTTTTTTTTTTTTTTTTTGAGAAGAATTAAAGCTCGATTTTGGTATAAGCCATTGTTGTGTTTTTTTTTTTTTTGGCAATGTATTTTTTTTTTTAACCATGAGAAATATTATAAACCCTATTAAAAGTACTTGATGATTAAGGTTAAGTTTTGGGTTATTTACTTTTAAGAATTTGCCTTCCATTATAATAAATAGAGAACCATTTCCATTTTTTTTTTCTTTTTTTTTTTTGTCTTTATTTCCTTTTTAAAATATGCTTTACAAAAATTATATTAAAGAATAAAAATATGCAATTATAAAAAGTTAGTCTTAACCTTTAGTTGTGAAAGAAACAATAGTTGTAGTACGCTGTTGGGCGTGTAGAGCTACCTACCTTACCAGCAAAAGGAAATTTGGCTGACGAAAGGCCACTTAATGACACTCTTATCCTTTTCCAATCACGGGTGTTGTATTCATTTTTTAAATAGATAAATTAATATATCTATCTATATATATATATATATCACGTGCGTTGTTGTTACTATATTACCATATTATTATCATATGTGTTATTATTTTTTAGAATAAAAATGAATTATTTCTTTTTATTTTCTAAATTTTTTTATTTTCTAAATGGAGTGATAAATATCCACTTATCACTGACCCACCCTCACAGATCCGTAGTGACTCCTTTCATCTAATTCCACACAAAACAAGCATAAACAATTTTCACAGCACAAAAGTAACAAAACAATTTCATTTCAGCATAATGCACCAAATCAATCATTAATATGCCAAACATAGAAATATTAATTATATATTTAATAATACTAATAATTATAACCAAATCAATCATTAATATGCAAACATAGAAATATAATTATATATTAATAATAACATAATAATATAAATATATATTAATGATAACATAATAATATAAATATAAAAAAAATGCTAAGTTATCTCATGTGTGTATAAATAAATATATTTTTTTCTTTATAAAATAAATAATATGTGTATACAAATGATGATATGCACTATTTATTATTACTTACAGTGATGGAGGAGAAAAAACTCTAGTTCTGAGTCTGATTCATAGGAGCAATAAACAAGCTCACACGATCTTATTGCAAAAACATGCCACAAATCATGGATTTTCGGGTAAGATGATCGACAGCATCCCTTTGTCCAAGTGTTGCTTCTGTCAACACTAGCTTGATCGAAAAAAAAGAAAGTGGTGGTCAGTGAGGTGCTAGAGACGAGGTGAGAGGTGGTTCGGCCGGCTCTTGGCTAGTTTTGTCGAAAAATCAAAAGGAAGAGGGGGGTTTAAACAGGAAAGACACAGCTCTTTCCCTCTTGTTATTGCTTCAAAAATGAACCGGAAGTGGAGAGGGAGAACGGCTAGAATAGCGGTGATGGCAAGGAGGAGGTCTGGTTTGCTGGACTTAAGCTCAAGTGGTCGAAAAATCGGGGAGGGGGGGGGGGCAAGTTGTTGTCATTGAAGCGGGGAAAGAGGGAGAAACAGAATGGGACCAAATGGGATTTTGGGTTTTCTAGAGCTTTCTAATTGGCTATAGGTTGGTTGAATTTGATTAGGATCCGGTTTAGCCTAAATCATGGGTTCCAAGGTGGGTTTCAATTGATTTATGGATTTTTCAATAGGTTTATAGTGGTTTAAGGGTTTGGTTTAGCAATATAAGCTGTAGTTATTTAGTTATTTATTTATTTTTATTGAATTAATTTATAAGGTATTAGTTAACTATTTTAAAATGCAATAATGTTTTATAATTTCCTTGGTTTAGAATTAATAATTAAAATTTTAAATGGAAAAATTTTAAAAATAAAAATTTAGGTTGTTTCACTTTTAGACATTAGTTTTTGATTGCATGTGTTCCTCCTAATGATGGGCGGCTGAAAATAACTTGTGATAGTTGTAGTCTGACTAATAATGTTTTGACTAGTGGTGGTGGCCTGTTTTTTTATCATTTGGACATGTGGATGGGAGGATTTTCTTTGAATATTGGATTTTCTCATATTTTTCTTGGAGAATTGTTTATTATTAGGGTTGGTATGGCTTTTGCTTAGGAGCGTGGTTTTCATTTTCTTCAAGTTGAGTAAAATAGTTTGGAGGCTATTCGTCTTGTTAATTCAGTCATGGTTGCTTCTCATCCTTTGGCTGCTGTGATTTGGGATATTTAGACTTTGATGTCTCGAGACTTACAATGTTTTTTTTGTTATGTCTTACAGGAAAAGAATTTTGTGGCGGATAATTTAGGGAGGCTAAATCATTCTTTACCTTCCTCTATTTCTTTTTGGGAGGTCATGCCTTCTTCCATTTCGATGCTTCTTTGGGCTAACACCTGTGTGTTTAGCTTTTTGAGATAGGTGCTCTCTTCTTTTCTTCCTTTTGTCATCATCAATAATAATTATAAATTCCACAAATTTAAATTCCAAAACCTTGCAATAAAACTATTCATCCTCCTAACTTTCTAAAAATATTATGCAAAGGATATTTTAAGGAATAAAAGTAAATGAATTTCAATTTTGAATTTATTGGAAATATGAAAAATTTATTTACAAAGAATTTCTATTTAAATAAATCTACCAAACGGAGCGTACATCGGTTGTTAGTAAACTTTCCTAATATATTGTTGTTGTATATGTTAAAATGTCATATTATTTTTGGCTTCTGAAAAAACATGTGTACGTAGGGATGACCATTTCACGGTTTTCAAAACTGGAACTGCGGTTCTAGAATCGTGGTCACCCCTATGTGCACGTTAGTTTAATTATAAATATTCATGTGCAACACAAGTCTTAAAAGCTAATTAAAATATATAAATGTATTAATATTTTTAATTCCTCTCTTATTTCCTTCCTTCTTTATTTTCTTTCCTCCTTTTCTTAAACATAAGATCAGAGATTGCAACCTTGAACTAATAATTTAAACTTACCAAATTGTGTTTATAGTGTTTGTTAGTTTTAGTCTTTTGCTCTTTTTTTTCAACCTAGATTTTCTTTGTTATCGTTTTGGATTCTTAAATTTTTTTTTGTTTCTCTATTAAATTGTAAGGTACTTTTATTATTGAAATTATTTTCTTAATTAAGCTATTTTTTCAAAATTTCATTACTTTATTTTCCTTTCCAAACATAGTTTAAAAGGTTCTTAATAATAAAAAATTTTAAAGTTGAAGTTTCAATATGAAATGAATAAAAAATTCAAAAGCTAAAACGACAAAATAGAACACTTTTGTATCTAAAAATAAATAAATAAATAAATAATCCATTCTTCAGAAATTTCGAAGAATGGATTATTTTTTTATTCTTCTTAATTATTATATATATATACTTTTAAATGACTGAATAAATAAATCTATGAAGTTTGGCTTATTTTATAAAAAAAGTATAATTAAAATAGTTATGCATTTAAAAATTTTTTATGAATAAAAAAATAATTATTAACTTTTTATTGGTGTAAAACACATATAAAAATTTTGAGTGTGCAATTACTTAATGTGAAATAAGTTTACTAATCTCAATATACATAAAAAACATACCATATATATTTTTTCGCCGTGTACATAAATTCACCCTTGTACTTTGCGATTTTATTTTTGTGGCATCCTAAACTTTGCAAATGACCTATTGTGCACATGAATTTATGAATTTTCGTAATATTATACACATTTTAACACTAATGTTAATAATTTTTACGGTTTTTGACTTTTATCTGCAAAATATCAACTCAACATATAGTTAGCATGATTTTTGAAAAAATAATTTTCATAAATTTTAACTTCTTTCAATGAGTGTTTAATTGATCTAATTTTGCAAATTGAAGTGTTTAATAAAATAAATTTAAAAATTAAAGCATTTCATAAATGTAATTTTATAAGTTGAAGTGTTTGATTGGTAAAAGTAAAAATTGAGGGTGTTATAAAATTAAAATAACAAAGTTTAGGGATAAATTTATATATCGACCTATATTTTTGTTTGGTTTGATTTGGACCCTTAAATTTTTTTTTTTTTTTTTTTGGTAATATGGAGTGTTTTAAATTTAAAATCATAAATTAAACCAATAAATTAATTTGTCAGTTTTAGGGATAAAATTTATATATCGACCTATATTGGTTTGGTTGATTTGGACCCCTTTAAATTTTTTTTTTTTTTTTTTGGTAATATGGAGTTTTTTTTTTTTTTTTTTGGTAATATGGAGTGTTTTAAATTTAAAATCATAAATTAAACCAATAAATTAATTTGTCATATATTTTAAACTAAATTAAATTAATCTATTTTCCTATAAAAAAATAATGTTTTTAAATGATGGTTTTAGATTTATCAGTTTGCAATTTGCACTGACAGCGCAGTTAAAGAATACTCCGAAGTAATAAAAAAAAGTAAAAAATCAGGAACTCCATTCGCACACGCACACCCACCAAGCACTAATCTGGAACCTTCTCTTCAATTTGCACTGGTTGCTTTCCCATTTTCACTTATTTGTAAGCAGAGTACCACTCCCACATTCCCTTCCCTTCAATATTGCTTCTTCATATTGATCTTGGCTTAAGACACTAACAAACAGTTTTTGCTTCTTCATCTTGTCCGAAAAATTTCTTCATTTTGTCCAAAAACACTCGAAATAGTTCTTACTGCTCGATCTTGTCCAAAAACACCCAACCATGGCTTATTCTTTTGTAGAGAATACGAGATTTTACCCTTCAACATCCTCCTTATTGTCCTTGTACGCTTCATTTTCCACTGCTTCATTTTCCACTTCCTCAATGCTCTTGCGTAATATTTACCATGAATTAGTACCCAAGAAGCTCGAGACTTTTCTTGTCTCAAAATTCTTGATCTTCTTCTCTCGTAGAAAATCATCTCCTTCTTATGATACCTTCTTCTTATGATACCTTCATAATTGATGATTCGTGGGACGGTCTTGATCGCAACAAACTCATAGACGCAGCAAGATTCTACTTGTCCTCCAAGATCGGCCCTAAAAACAAAATTATCAGAATTGGTAAGTTTAGAGGGCAAAAGAATGTAACAGCTGCCATAGTAGAAGGTGAGAAAGTTGTTGATGTCTATGAAGGGATAGAAATTACATGGCAATTTGCAAAGCAAGAAAACGACGATCGATCCAAGAATGATAAATTCTATAACAAAGGTTATTTTGAACTAACATTTGAAGATCAATATAGAGAAAAAATCTTATAGAGAAAAAATCTTTAATGGTTACTTAAACCACATTGTGGATACTTCCAAGGCCATGACCAAAGGCGAAAAGGTTTTAAAGCTTTATACAAGGTCTCGCGGCTGTTGGGATTCCATTGATTTTCGACATCCATCGACATTTGATGCGCTAGCGATGGATCACAATCTAAAGAAGTCTATCATAGATGACATAGATAGGTTCTTGGCAAGGAAAGACTACTATAAGAGAATTGGAAAGGCTTGGAAAAGAGGATACTTACTTTATGGTCCTCCTGGCACTGGAAAATCAAGCTTAATTGCAGCTATGGCTAATTACCTCAAGTTTGATGTGTTTGATTTGGAGCTGGCCAATATTAGCTGGCCAATATTACTTCTGATGCTGATTTGAGAAAAGCTATGCTCCATATTGATAGAAAGTCCATAACTGTGATTGAGGACATAGATTGCAATTCTACTGCGTATAATCGATCAAGATCAAAATCTGATGATTCTGATGATGAATCCATTTATGTCAAGGTTAGTATCTGTGCTGTTTTGGTCTACTCTGTTATGCTCTGTTTTATTGATACTTTTATTTTAGAAATGGGATTGGTTAAAACTCGTTTTTGTTTCTCTTAATTTGGATCAAACAGCAATTTTCGCTCTCTGGTCTGCTAAATTGCATTGATGGATTGTGGTCAAGCTGTGGAGAAGGAGAAGAAGGATGAATAGTGTTTACGACAAATCACAAGGAAGTTTTGGACCAGCATGCTTCGTCCTGGCAGAATGGATATTGCACATATCAATGTCATATTGTTACCAGTGAAGGATTTAGAGTCTTTGTGTACAAATACCTTGGAATTAAAGAGCATAACTTTGCTTGAAGAAATTAGAGCATAAACTGCTTGAAGAAATTGATGGTTTGATACAAAGTGCGGAGGCCACTCCTGCTTCTTTGGCTGAGGAATTATTGAAGAGTGATGATCCTGATGTTGCTCTTGGAGAAGTACTCAATTTTCTCAAGCAACAGAAAATTAAAAAGGATAATGAAGATAAAATTGTAGAGGAAAAGGAAAGCTCTGTTGAGTGAATCCAATTTCGTCTTTCCCTTTTTTTTAGCGTAGTTATTAAGTTTTTATTAGAAAAGAAATGTCCAGCCTTTCTCCAATGGCTACTTGGATTCTCTACAGTTGGAGTTTTATTATTAAGTATTAACTAGATGAAAAAAAATTACAAATTATCTTGTAATTTTCATTTTACTAGATTTTATTTATCTTTTACATTTCGTTTAAGAGTTTGCTGTATAAGTATTATTCGTTCTTAAAAATCTTTTAATGAATAAAAAAATTATTTAATAGTAATTAAGCAAATCATTTGTTTTTAAACTAATAAGAATTTTTTTAACCTATTATTGTATAGTTGGTTTCTCCTTGCATCTAGCATCCAAATAGCTATAGTTTTAAAACAATAAAATTAATGGTTATTTAATTTATTCACCATGGGATGGCATTTAATTTATAAACTTCTTGTTACTGCACTGTAGTTTTGTTCCCTAACTATAAGATATCTCATATTTATTCAATTTTTCTGACAGATACCAAATTTATTTAATTTTTTTTTTACTTTATATTTGCCACCCATTTCTTAGATATCTCATATTATCAATTTTTCTGACAGATACAAATTATTTAATTTTTTTTTACTATATTTGCACATTTCTTTTTTCAATTTTACTAACATACAATTTGGAATGCTACATATTTTTAATTATTTATTTAAAATTCAGAAAAAAAGAAAATACAATAATCCAAATACATATTTCCTAGAAAATTGTGTGGATTCATGAAATTTTTAATTGGGATAACATACGATATGTAGGTCGACGCATTAAATTTTTATTTAATCTAATAAATTTTTGAAGGATAAAAAATTATAGAACCACCTAATCTTTTTGTAATACAATGAATTATTTATAAATTTTTGTTCTCAATCCGTAATCAATTTGAACTTGAAATTTCCTTTCTTCATAACTCTCGATGGATTTTGATTAATTGATGATATTTTATAAAAATGTTAAAATTTCTCTCATAATTGTTAAACGTTAAACTTCTCATGTACATAAATTTGAAGTAATTATTTATGAAATACAGTAATTTTATTAATCTTTGTTTAATAATTTATTTAATTATAATACAGTTATGAGTTATCAATAGATTAATTTTTATGAACTCTTTCAGCTTTTCCATTAATAATGTTGAAATATTAAAAAAGAAGTGACAATTTTAAATTTAAAGTTTACTATTTTATAAATAAAATCTATTTCGATATACAGTTATTCCACTACTCAACTACTTTTTTATACATTTTTCTATTTTCTAAGAGAGGCAAAAATCCTACCTCATGTCACCCTGACAGAATGTCCATAATCGTGCCACGTAGACATAACCGCCATCGCCGTCGGCAGAGCTTATCTTGACCAGGTGGATTAATAATGCACAACGGGCCAACGTTATGCATGACTCACTATATCCATGAGTCTGAATAAGAATGCCACGTCAAGTTCTAAGATTAAATTATTACTTATTAAAGACTATTAATTTATCGAAAACATTTATGGTATGAATATTCAAAATTAAAATTTTTACTAATATCCAAAAATATTTATATAAAAATAAAATTATGAGCCTTATAAATTTTTTCTTTTACTGTTTAATGGCAAAAAGAAAAAAATAATTGCATTAAAAAGCTGACAGGAAACACAGCCTTACAATACAATATTTGAAAATAATTTTCTTTTATGGCTATTAAGTCTACATTTCCTTGTGATTTGCCTTGGTTAAGGGGTCATTTAATTCTACTTTCAATATATTTATTTTTTTATGTACATGTGCTATGTCCTTGTTTATCCTCAAAATTCAAGGAAAGTATCCCCGAAGGCATGATAAAAAATGAATATTTGTTCTCGTAATATAATCGGAATTATACATGATTAATGTATAAATTTTCACCTAATTTTACATATTTAATCTTATAGTATTCTTAATTTTACAGGGACTTGTCATATTTTTGAAATTATTCATTTTAATAATAATCATAACGTTGTATATAAATTTCAAATGCCGGATCGAAAGTGACGCCTGAAATATTGTCTACCAGAACTATTGAAAAAGTAAAGTTATTTACGTTTTCTGATATCATTATTGAAAATGACCAAAAAGTCATAAAAAGAGAAACAAAGTTTGTTTGTTGTCATTTGCAAATTGACGTGTACGACTAAGTTCTTCAAAGATTCCCATTGGCTAAAGCATAAGATAGAACTCAATTTTGAAAAGGAAGCAACAACCTTTTTGGAAAATGTTACAATAAATCAAAGAAAATGATTTTTTTTTTTTTTTACCAGAGTTACATGAGACCGGATGGACTGGCCACTGTGAAAGTGGCACAGAAATTATACCACTGGTCAATGGCTATAAGGGTGTCCATATTACGGTTTTGGACATTGGAACTGTCGGTTCGAACCGGTCTCGAACAGGAGATTTTCGGTTCGATTTCGATTCTAGATTTGTGGAACCGCAAACCGGCGGTTCCACAAAAATAGATTGGAACCGGCGGTTCTCCGGCCGGTTCGAACCGGCGGTTCTAGCCGTTAGAAACTGTCAGTTTTGTGTTTTTTTTCAAAAAATTTTGTTGTGAAATCTCAAACTTTTTTAAACAAAAAATAAATTCAGTTAATTGAACCATTTTTTAATTTTTTAGGTGTATTTTTTTTACAAATAACTTTCACAAATTTAATAAAATTTGAAAACCGGTCTTCAAAATTTAAAATTTAAAATTATACGATTTGCCGAAAAATCGATCGGAACCGTCGGTTTTGCACCGTACTGGAACCAGAACCGTTCGGTTCTAAATCGGAACCGGAACCGGAAATTTTCAGTTTAATTCCGGTTCCAGTTTTTTTGGAACCGGAACCGCCGGTTCTGGAACCGTGGCCACCCCTAAATGGCCCAATTCCCCCTTTTTTTTAAAAAAAAAACAAGAAAAGAATTACAAGAAACGCCCACTAGATCATGTAAAAGTCATGATCAAGAAGATAATGAGTGCCCAGGGTAAAGTTGCTAGCCAATTTTGACAGCGGAATCCATAAATTAATCATTATACTTTGTAATTTTAACTTTTTAGTACCTTAAACTTTACGAACGATCCGTCGGTATTTAAATTTGTAAATTTTAATAATATTAAACACATTTCGACACAATATTCATAATTTTTAAATTCTTTGATTTTTATCTGCAAAATATCAATTTTATTATAGCTAGCATGACTCTTTGGAACAATAATTTTCATGAATTTCAACTTTTTAATGCATGTTTAGTTGATCTAATTTTACAAGTTGAAGTGTTAAATAAAATAATTAAAAATTTTAATTGTTTAATAAATGTAATTTTATGAATTTAAGTGTTTCATGGGTAAAAGTAAAAGCTGATAATGCCACAAGATTAAAATAGTTCAGGGTGAATTTATATATGGGGCCCAATTTTGACAAATAAACAATACATTAAAAAGTTTCCTTCCCTAAATATATGGTTTTTAAAGTGTCATTTTAATAAAGTAGTTACTTAAATAAAGATTTAGAATATTACTTCCATTCTATTCATTTTTTCATACTTTTTGAGATTTCATAAAAATTAAAAAATATTAAATCACCAATTTTAGAAATAATAAGAGTAATTGAATAAAAATAAGAGTAATTGAATAATTCAAATAAAGTTTAGTAAAATATCTAAAACGGTGGATGTGAAAGTATACTGATATAAATTCTGTTTTGATCTTGTGGCTCTAATTTATTTTCAATAAGTTGCCACCTGGCATTGACGGTTATTTTTTCTTAGTTTAAGAGCGATAGAGATCTGTATGAAAAAATATCTCTCTTTGTATTTGTATTTTTCTATTCTCTCTCAAGAAAATGATCTGAATTTCTCAGTTGATTTCTTCTTGACTATGATTGCCATGAATTAGCTCATCATGGTATCAGAGCATTTAGGTTACTAAAGGTTGATCTTAAATTCTTTTTCTTCTGCATCAATCAGAGCAAATGACGAATCCCGATGATTTGGAGCCAAACAGATCTCAGATTGCAAGATCAAAAGCTAAATTGACTAATGATCCTCTGAATTTAACTAATTCAGATCATCCTGGACTGAATCTAGTCAGTGTACCTTTGAATGAAAACAATTATCACTCTTGGAGCAGATCCATAACTATAGCTCTCAGAGCGAAGAATAAGCTGGATTTCATTAATGGAAGGTATGAGAAACCTAACTCTAATTCTCACTAATTAGATCATTTCCTGGACTGAATCTAGTCAGCCATGTAACTGAATTGAAAACAATTATCCTTTTGGAGCAGATCATAACTATAGCTCTCAGATGCGAAGAAGTAAGCTGGATTTCATTAATTGGAAAGGTATTGAGAAACCTAACTTTCTAATTTCTCCTGTGTATTGAGAAATGGATTGAGAACATACAGGTATGTATAGTTTCATGGCTTTTTGACTCCGATATCGAAAGATTTTATCGTTGAAGCATTTTCTAATATTCAAAATTCAGCCAAAGAACTTTTGAGGATAATTATTTTCAAGATATGGTGATAGGTAATGGACCTCTTCTTTTACCAGAATCACAAGGGAGATTTGTAGTTTTTTAGCCAAGGAAATTACCTCAAATAACAGTGTATTTCACGAAACTTTAACAACAAGTGGGCATGAATTGGTAGTTTAAAAGAAGTTTCCTGTTTTTTCGGTTGCCGGTTGCAGGCAAAAATTCTTTAATGGATTTGAGGGAATGATGCAAGGTTGATGCATTTCTT